GTAAGACGTTCTGTTCCACCAACGTGTAGCCCGTGTTGCGAGAGCTTGCACTTCCATCGCGCAAGTGCGAGTTCAAGGCCAGCATTGAAAAGTGCCGGACTGAGCACATCACCCTGTTTGACTCCACGTTGGATTGAAAACTTCCTCCCAGCTTGCACTTGGCCTGTCTGTGATCGATACAGTGCTGATAGCAAACTAATGTAGCATTGCGGAACTCCTTGGTCGTGAAGTGCTTCGAATAGCGATCGGTGTTCTATTCTGTCAAAAGCCTTTCTTAAATCCAAGCTCGCGCACCACAGCGGGGTGTCCCATTCAATACTCTTCCCAATCATCGTCTCCAAAACTGCAAAAGCGTGGTCAATCCCAAGTTTTGAGCGAAAACCAACTTGATCGGCGCACTGAGCATCTTCCAAAACGTTATGAATTCTCGCACCGAGTAGTTTTGCAAAAACTTTAGAGGTAATCTTCAGAACTGCGATGGGGCGCTAGTTGCTTGCCTGAGTTGAATCACCAGGTCTAGGTAGCATCTTGAAAAGAGTATGTTGCCATGATGGCTCCAAGGATTCCTCGAGAAGCATGCGGTTGTAAATTTCAAGCAAGCATTCGTGGAGCTCCTTGCAGCCCAACTTGAACATTTCCAACACCAGACCTGCATCATCACCACTTCTGCGATTGCGCGTATGTTGCAATGCTTGTCTCAATTCAAAAAGCTGAAAAGGCGGTATGGTCGAAAAACCCACGTTGCTTCGACATGTTTCTGCACGCGTGTCGATGTAAATATGTCGGATAAGCAATCTGTAAAAGCTTCGGGACTTGGCATGTTGGTCGTTGGCACGTCAAAGGTCTTGATCGGATCACGAAACAGCGCGTCCAGTCTTCCAAAATCTTGGAATTGCTCCAAGGTCGCAGTGATCTTCTGATTCTGCTTTTGACGCTGAAAAGACCGTAGCTTTTTGCGGATTTGCTTGGAAAGTGCCCGCCTCTCAATCGCATCTCGTGCTGATTTTCTCTGCTGCAAAAGATGTTGAAAATCGTCATGTTCCCACGGTTCAGCAAGTTTCGAGCGTTCACACTTCATGGACGAAATGGCTGCGGAATGCACCAAACGTTCAAGCTCCGTGATGGTGTTGGGTTGTTGGTTGGACAACCGCATCTGCAAAGTGGCATGATATTGCTGTTGATTGTGTGGCATCCAACCACGGGGCACACTCAATGGTTTCCAAAACCGGACTCCACTCTCTCCTAAAACTTGCCCTACTAAAGAACGAAGGAGGCCCCCCTAGCGGGACCTTTTTTTTTTTTCTCGGACTTTTCCTGCATGAGGTCTGTCGACCCATGCTATTTTCGGTGAAGCGCCTGTAGAGGATATACCACCGTCTCGTCCAAGCGGAAGTGGCTGCCGCTCGCAGCGCCGGCGGGGCCCGTTGGGCTCGGACGTGTGCTTAACTAAGTCTTTGACGAACCGCTACGCCGGTTCTTCTTTTCAGCGCCCCCCAACTTCGGAGCCGAGCACGACGACTCGCTGCGGACCGCCCGCACTGAGCTCTGAGCCGCCTCGTTTGCGCCGCTTGGCAACCCGCAGCATCGCGCCGTGCGGTGCGGGGATGCGGCTGGCCCGTTCGGGTCTTGGGTCGCATCGCAGCACAGCGCACACCTTACAGGGGTAGCTCCATAAATCACCAAATCCAGGCGGCGCCTGTGGATTACCTGGCCGTCAGCCCCAACGACTTCGTGTGCGACCCTTACCCAGGCCCGTTCAACGACTCTTGCTCGCAAGCCGAGCCAGGAGCCCTGTGCGAGGGCAGGCCAAGGCATGATCGCCGAAGTCGTCGACGAGCGAAGCACATCCGGGAGGTGGGCCGCAGCGATTTGCGCGAAGGGGAGGTGGGACGCGCAGACGGCGGCGCCATGCGAGCTGCATGGCTTGTGGGGGCAGTGTGGTGGCGGACTCCACTTGGTATATTTATGGCTGTTAGCCAACCGCAAGTGCGCGGGCCAGCTTGAGAACGCAAGAGCGCGGGCGCTGGGCGGCAAGATGGGTTGCGAGTTCGCGACGCACTGCGAGGCGGACAGACGCGACTCCGCTGAGGCAGGCCTGCAAAGCCTCCCATGCAGCGTCGTATAGCGTGGTCATGGGTTTGGGCGTTGCCGGCTATGTCCAGCGACACCACCGCCACCCCCACCAGCACCAACACAACCACCACCACCCCCACCCCCACCGCCACCGCCACCGCCACCGCCGCCACCGCCGCCACCCCCACCCCCACCCCCACCACCACCACCACCACCACTACCACCACCACCAGCAACAGCTTCAATAAAATCATGCTGACCTGCCAGCGCGAGTGCTGAGGCCGAATTGGAAGGGCATGCAAGCCGTTTGCAAGGCAGCGGCGTAGTGCTGGGTTGGTGCTGGGCCAGGGCGCATGCAACTAGACGGCGGAACACGTCGCCAACAACGAGCGCGCGGACGCGGCCGTTGGGCTTGCGCAGTGCGACGAGTCTAGGCGACTAACCCGCACAGCGGCCAGCACGAGCTCCGGGAGCTCAGCATTCGCAAAAAAACGGCTGCAGGACCGCTAGATCGCGCTCCTCATCTATCAGCAAGCGAAGGTGCTCGTTTGTCATGCCAGAGAGCCCCGCCGCGGAGCCTCGGCGTGCGCTTCGCAGGCAGGACAGCAGCAGTTTTGCTGGGACAGGGCAAGCCTGGGCGGGGGCGTGCGCTAGCACTTCCGGGCTAAGTGCGTCCACCGACTCCTGGGGCCTTCGGCTGGGGTCGCGGAGCTCAGCGAGCGTGGCCTCGTCACCGGCGGTGAGTGAGCGGCTGGCGGCAGAGA